TATAATACTCTATCATATATAGCTTTTAAATTATTCTCTCCCTCATCTGTTTCAATGCAGTATACATAATTTATGCAGTTTTTCTCAGTTGAAAAACCCTGTATATATATCCACATCGCTTTAACAAAAATGCTGCTTGTCTTTCTACTTAATAAATGGGTGATGTTAGATAATTCACTGGGTCTCTTAGATCTCAGATGCATCATTTTAAATATTAATGTGATTCCCTGTAAATTAATATAGAAAATCATATTGTGCAATACTTAACACTGAGTAGCACTCACTCAATGAAAGCTCAGTGCACCTTTGAGAAAATGCAAGTAAAAGGTTATTGCCTTAACATTCATTTTAAATCCATCTACACCAAAACCACAGTTAGGAATAATGTTTGGAATAAAAATAAGAACGAGAAGATTACATATTATTTAAAAAGGGATTTTTACAGTGAATACAGACATAAAGACAAGAAAAAAACCTAGGAGGATTTACTCCAAAGATGATGATAATAATAATAGTTGTCTATCTCTGGATAATAAAACTATAGGACTTTTTTTGATGATGAAATTTTAAATATATAAATGTAAAAATCACAGTGAAATAGTCCTGTGCACCAGAAAATAAGGCAAATCAAGAAAGAACTACCAAAAGGCAGAAGAAATGGATTACATGCTAAAAATGATAAAGCATGTGACAAGTTCTTTAGTCAGAAAATAGGGATAATTCATTTTCTCCTGGACACAGAGCCTACTAATTGGTCCTAAAAGCCTTCTGAGGTCCCAACTCTTCTCACTATCTCTTAGTTGTTGGAATGGACGGAAAACCTCATAAGCAGTTCCTTATTTTACCTCTACCTTGCATTCGAACTTCCGAGTTGTAAAACAACCCAGTGGTAGATGGAATTTCCTCCAGGACTTAAGAACCATAAATGACATAGCTGAGCCTCTACAACTTGTGGTTCCTAACCTCTACACTATAATAGACAAAGTGCTAGTCTATAGGCCTTTTATTGTAAGAACCACCTTCCCTCTGTAACTTGATTTGTGCCACTATTAGAACCTCTACTCAGAATATTATTGCTTTTTAATTTTTGACTCATGTACTTTTAACTTGTTAGTTAAATTTGTATCTTCTAGGCTGCAACTTCCATGATACATCTTCAAGGATATGAACATGTACGGCTAAGCACAATTGATAACAGTGAATCTAAATTCCAAAGTCAATCTCCATAATAGTCTATGTGTTTCCTACTGCCAAAGGGGCCCTTTAGAGTAGTGAAAGAAGATCTTCACCCTGAAACCTACAGCGTCCCTTTTCAGCAGGAAGTAGCTAAGAGAATATGCCATCCCCTTTTCCTTATGAATCAGGGTGAAGTCTCTCTCAGGGAGGAGAGATAGGGAATGGCAAAGGACACACTGACAAAGGAGATTAATTAGAACTGGTTTTGACAAGCACTGTGGCAATTGGACAATTAAAACAGACATTGTGGGGGGGGAAGAAGAACGAACTGGGGAGGAGGGTAGAGAAAACAGTGCAACAATGAATGAATGAAAACCCAAAATCTCTGTAAATGTTCACTAAAACTAATAAAATTTAATAATAATTAAAAAAAGGAAAATAGGGATAACCACCTAAGTTATGGTGGAAAGTACAGATGTCTTGGAGAAAGTATAGCCGGAGTGCTCCTCTAAGGCGAAGATGGCAAAGCTTTGTCTCACATACTTTGGACATGTTGTTCGAAGAGGCTACTCCTTGGAGAAGGCGATTATGCTTGGAAAGGTAGGATGGGTGAAAGAAAGGAAGCCCCTTGGCCAGATGGATTGACACAGTGACTGTTACCATGGACTCAAGTATGTCAGAGAAGCTAAGGATGGCACAGGATAGGGCAGGGTTCGTGTATGTTGTTCATAGGGTAGCTCTAAATCATACAGCACCTAACAACAACTACCTAAGGATAGTCTTAAGAGATAACAAACAGAACAATCAGAAATTCCAATAAAGCTCTGGTTGCTTAGTGGTAAGGAATTGTGCTGCCACCCAAAGGTATGTGGTTCAAATCCACCTGCTGCTCCATGAGGAAAAGATGGGCAAGCTCCTCTCTTGAAATTTCCTGTCTCCAAAAACCTGGTGAACAGTCAGCTATGAGTCAGTTCTGAGTTAATAATATACAACAACAATAACAACAATTAGGAAAACATTTCTTGAATTAAAAACAAAAAGTTGTATATATCAAAAAGTTTACTGGATTCCTAAAACAACTATGAGATATCATCTCACCCCAGTCAAAATAGCAAAATTTAACAGAACAGCAAGCAACAAATGCTGGCGAGGTTGTGGAGAAACTGGAACCCTTATTCACTGTTGGTGGGAGTGTAAAATGGTGCAGCCCCTGTGGAAAGCAGTATGGCGCTTTCTCAAAAAGTTGCAAATACAGATACCATTTGACCCAGCAATTCCACTACTGGGAATATACCCTGAAGAGACCATAGCTGACATCCAAGCAGATATATGCACTCCCATGTTTATTGCAGCTTTGTTCACAATAGCAAGGAGTTGGAAACAACCTAAGTGCCCATCAACAAACGAATGGCTAGAGAAGCTGTGGTATATTCGCACAATGGAATACTATGCTGCATTAAAAAACAAGGAACTCATGCAATATTATTCAAAATGGTTGACTCTGGAGAACATTATGCTGAGTGAAATATCCCAGTCACAAAAGGACAATTATTACATGATGCCACTGTTGTAGAATGGGACTAACCTCAGGGTTGGGGAGAGACTGAGTAAGATGTGTTCAATAATGTATACTGCACTGAAACAGAGGAGGGAGAAAACTGTGTAAAAGAGATAGGTGACTAGGTATTTCTGTCATCACAGGAGTCTAGAGTGAGGGCTACACGGTGGAGGGGACCTGGGGGAGGGTTTGTAAAACAATGAAAGAATCTTTTCTTTTACTTTTCCATAATTTTTGACTCATGTACTTATAACTTGTTAGTTAAATTTGTGTCTCCTAGGTTGCAACCCCCCCCATGATACATCTTCAGGGATATGAACATGTACGGCTAAGCACAATTAATAACAGTGCATCTAAATTCCAAAATCAATCTCCATAATAGTCTGTGTTCCCTACTGCCAAAGGGGCCCTTTAGAGTAGTGAGAGAAGATCTTCACCCTGAAACCCACAGTGTCCCTTTTCAGCAGGAAGTAGCTAAGAGAATACGCCATCCCCTTTTCCTTATGAATCAGGGTGAAGTCTCTCTCAGGGAGGAGTGATAGGGAATGGCAAAGGACACACCGACAAAGGAGATTAATCAGAACTGACTTTGACAAGCACTGTGGCAATTGGACAATTAAAACAGACATTCGGATGGCGGGGAAGAAGAACAAACTGGGGAGGAGGGCAGAGAGAATGGTGCAGCAATGAAGGAATGAAAACCCGAAATCCCTGTAAATGTTCATTAAAACTAATAAAATTTAAAAAAAGTTTACTGGATTCCAACCAAAATCAATAAAGAGAGACCTATATTGGTTAAAAATTTGACTTATCAGTAGGTTAAGAAATTATCCAAATACTCTTATCCATTAGGGGGAAAAAATTACAAAAAAGAAAATTTACCCCAGCCTCGGACTTCTCTACAATACACTGTCATGCAACAAAGAAATAGGGTCTCAGGTCTAAGATAAATTTATTGTTCATGTATATTAACAAGAGAAAGATCAATTTCTTGTCCATGTATGTAACAAGAGAAAGATCTCAGATATAAATAAGACTCAGAAGTCACATCCTTTTCCAAATATTACTTTAAGGAGTACAGTAGACGACTAGTCAAAAGTACATTTCAAGAATGAGACACCTGTAGCATAAAGTTTCAGTCTTCATTATTAACTTTAGATTCAGAAATCTGACTAGTATGAGGTGGCAGGCAGATTCTACCATCTCCCTAATCAAAGATCGTGAGGATGGCACAGGATAAGGCAAGGTTTAGATTTGCTGTTCACAGGGTCATTTTGAGTCCTAGTCTACTGGATGGCACTTGACAACAACAAGCTTCCCTGTTCTTTGCAGGACCAGGAAAAATAGTGCCCTACAAACAAAAGGTCTTTGCAATTACTTGTTATGCGTCAGAAAGCTGGACAACGACTAGGATGATGGAACAAGAATTGATGTCTTTGAGCTGTGGTGCTGAAGAAGAGTATTGAATATACTATGGACTGCTAGGAGAATAAACAAGTTCATCCTGGAGAGAATGATGCCAAGCTGCTCCTTGGAGGCAAGGATTCTGAAGTTTTGTCTGACATACTCTGGACATCCTGTAAGGTGGGATCAGTCCTTGGAGAAGGATGTCATGCTTGGGAAGGTGGAGGGACAGTGGAAGAGAGGAAGACCCTCGATAAGATGGATTGATTCAAAGACTGGGCTAATTGGGGTAGGTGTGTTAGAGACAATAAGATTGGCACAGGATAGAGCAGGGCTTAGGGGTGTTGTACATAAGATCACTGTGAGTCGCAAGTGGCTCGATGGCACATAACAACAACAACAAACACAGCAAAACCCAGGGATGGAGTCAAGAAACACGAAAAGACCTCTCTGAGACAGAAGTAAAGATATGATGCTGTTTCTTGCTGGACGTTTTGTAAAGAGAAGGCAAAAGAGTAAAGCACTTTTCCACCAGGAATTAAGGCTAAGTTAGGTATAAGGCAAAAAGTTTGAGCCAAAAGGGAGAATGTCCACATCCTCTCTTTACCCTAGGGTAAAGTCACCTGCAGCCCAATCCATCCCCCCAGTGGGGGGCTGACCCTCAGTGGGGTCGTGGAGTTAGGAACTCCGTGGTCTCTTGGTTTGGGGGTGGTGTTCGCACTACCAGTGGTTTATTTGGGGAGGTTGAGGAGGGAGGTGATCCCTGTGGGACGCACAGAGCCGGCCTCTGGAAGGCGCGAGGAGTGGGAGGAAGGGGTGTGTCACTAGGAGGCGGGTGTCTTGGTGCGCGGGGCGGCCTTACCCCCGGGCCCGGTGGAGACGGTGACTTGAGCATAGGTGGCTCCCGCGGCGGCCGCTGGGCCCGAGACGCCGTTGAGCGCGGCCACGCGCACGGTGTAGCGCGCCCCGGGCCGCAGGTGGAGCAGCGTGGCCGCGCGCTCGCGCAGCCCGGCCTGGCGCGGCACGAAGGCTACGCGCGGCCCGCACGGCTCGCACGCTCCCGCCGGGCCCTCGCGGCCGCAGCGCAGGCACAGCAGCGAGTACGTGACGTCGGAGCGGCCTCCCGAGTCGGCAGGCGGCAGCCAGCGCAGCCGCAGCGCCAGCGGCGAGCGGCTCAGGCTGTACTGCAGGTCCCGCGGCGCCGACGGCGGCCCTGCGGCGACACAGGGGGCGGGAGCGGTCAGTTGGGGTGAGCCAGGCGAGGGGCGTAGTCACAGGCGGGCTCGCCAGGCGAGGAGAGAGGATCCGGCTAGGGCTGGTGGACCAGTCAAGGATGGCAGAGAGGTGGGGGGTGAGGTCGTGGACGCTGTCAGAATCCGGAATGGACCGGTCAGGGAAAAGGTGGGTATCAGGAGTGGAGGTCAGTGAGGGGACAGGATGAGACTAGGGGATCAGTGATGGGGCTTGAGGAGAAGCTAGTAAGGGGACCAGGGAGAGGGTGTGGTCAATAAGAAGGGTGAGAAACGTGGGGTATGAGGGACTGAAGGCTCCTGCACTTGGCCTTCCTCCACGGTGGGGGGATGCAGTGGGTGAGGGCGTGGTGTCCCACTCAATAAGAACCCTGACCTCACCCCTCGTGCTCTGGAGTCTCCTGGTTGACGTTGTTCTTCCAGTCCAGGCCCTAGCACCCATCTCACCCCAGGGTTCCTCCCTCTACCCCTGCCTTCTGGGCCACCCTAAGCCAACTCTCATGCGGCCCTGTGTGGAGCCCCCCCCTCAACTACCCTTGGGCTTCTCCCCACCACCTCCTTCCAGCGAGGGATAGGGACTCACTGGTGCAGGAAGCCGAGGGCGGGTCGGTCGGCGAGCGCGCGTAGCTGTCCTGGCACACGCAGAACGTGGAGGCATTTTCCAGGGCCCGGCTGTGCTCCGGGCATGGCGAGCAGAGGGGCCTCCGCGGGGACACCTTATAAAATCCCGGGGGACAGGCTGCGGGGAGGGGACGTGTGAGGGGAAGGGGAGGCTCCCTAGCTACTCACTTCCCCTCTATTTTGCCCACCCTTAGTAGGTGAGGTTTATCTCCCAGAATTGTGATCCAAGACTGCACCATGGAGTGGTAGCTCCTGACCAAACAACGCTAAGCTTAAAACAAAAAAATTACTCCATTGCTGTGGCGTCGATTCAGATTCTCAGTGACCCTAAAGGGCAGAATAGAATGTCCAATGGGGTTTCCAAGAATATAATCTTTATGGGAGCAGACTACTATCTCTCTTTTGCACACCATCGCTTTTCCTTCTCCAAAACCAAACCACTAACAGAGTTTTGACTCTTCCTTTGGCTTTCTATGGCTTTAAATCTTTAAATCAGGAAACTTCCCACACATAGATTCTCCAGTGAAGTAAGCAGCTGTTGGATCGAAAAGGCGACCTTTTGGTTAGCAGGCCAATACCTTACTCACTATGCCACCAAGGGTCACCCTTGTTGTTGTTGTTAGGTGCCAAGTCAAGTATAACCCATAGCGACCCTATGAATAAAAGATCTGAACCCTCTTTTATCCTGCGCTGACCTCACATTTTCTGAGCCTATTGCAGCAGTTATTGTGTCAATCTGCTGGTTGAAGGTCTTCCTCTCCTTTACCAACCCTCCATCTTTCCCAGCATCATGGCCTCCTCCAAGGAAGAGCTCCTCCTAGCAACATGCCAGAAGTATGTGAGGCAAAGCCTCATCACTCTTGCCTGCAAAGAGCACTCTGGCTGCACCCTCTCTAAGACATATCTGTTCATTCTTTCAGCCGTGTTTTGTTAACACCTAACCCTTGGTAAGTACTTAATATGAACCAGCCACATTGGAATGTTTTACTTCTATTAATTCTTCTAACCTTCACAATAACCTGTCGCTGTGAAGCATGTATTTTATCAGCAGTTTTTTTTAATGAGGAAAGTAAGGCTCAGAGAGGTTAAGTAACTTGTCTAGGGTCCCACTGCTAATAAATAATAGGATTTGAACCTAATCGGACATTTCAGAGTCGATACTCTTTACCATACCATACTGCCCTAATGTCCACTGAAAGAAAACACAATTCACCCCTTTCCTACATGCCAGACTTAACAGTTGTGAAGACGGTGGAGAGAAGTGCCTCCAAGGACTGTTCCACATTTACATAGACAGACACATTCTCCCAGTTCTACAAACACTGAAACACACACACACACACATTCATTGTCAAAGCTCACCTTCCCACTTCCACCACCATTTGGGGGCTAATGCCTCTAACCTTCCACTGACAACCTGGGCAGAAGAAGAGTAAATGAATGTTCTCTCAGACCGTGAGTCAGACTTGGTTGGGGTCATATCACCTCTAAATTCTTCCGCACCACCTAGGAAAGTTGATATGAGCACAGGCTCAGCTATCTGAAGAACCTGAGTTTGTAGCTGATTTGCACCACCTATTTGCTCTGTGGCCTTGGGCAAACTGGTTGACCTCTCCCTGCCTGTATAAAGTCCCTACCCCTAAAGGTTTTGGGAGGATTAACTGAGATGAAGTATATAAGCTGTTTGGCCCAGTGCCAACTACATCTACACAATAATGGTAGTAATTATTGTTCCTCCCTCACAGACCTGAAGTAGAAACTGCCAAACACCCACTTTCAGTGCCCAGCTGGGCCAGGAAGGAAAGCAGTGGCTCATGGCCCCTCCTCTCTAGGAGCTTGGGTGGTTCCATGACCCTTTCCAGAACCTCTCTATTCATCTCCTGCGCTGTCGGAAGGGTAGCTTCTCTCCAGCTCTGAGAAGACAGTCCAGTACAAGGGATGCAGACCAGGATATTGAGGATTTCCACTGTTTGGAAGGATTAGGATTGGGAAGGTCCAGGTGGCCCAAAGCTCCAAGCAATATAACTTTGGGGTTGATCCCAGCAGTCTAGGAACCTCTGGAAATCTCTGCCTTTGGAACATACATGGGAGCAGCTGACATCATTGTGTCGTGGGCAGCAGGAACCCAGACTGAGAGTCGGACCTGGGCTCTAGTTTTGTCTCTGCAACTCCCTGTGCCTTCTGACCTCAAAGATCTTGTTTTAAAATAAGAGGATGAGGTCCCAGAGAAATTATCCACAAGAACTCACAGCAGGAGTGAAAGAATGCTGAAGACTGTTTTCCCCTGTACTGGGGGTGGGGGCACAGGGGGCAGGACTCCCTTCAGAAAGAGCAGTGGTTTCTCGTTTGGTGAGTAGACTCAGGAAGCTATTGCTGGTTGTTGCCTTACTTCCTCCAGGTCAGAGTCAGCATTTCAGAGCTCATCGGGGCAGCTCCCTTTGGGCCTTCCTCCTGAAGCTGTCTGCATTGTCTCAGCTCATGCACTTTGTAGAGAGCTTGGATACCATCTTATGAGGCTGGCCTTGCTGAACCATGCCAAGAGTTAGCAGTGCTTTTTTGCTTTGAGCCCAGTTCAGCCTCCCTCCTTGAAATGCTACCCCCTCCCATCCCATCGTAGGGTCTCATTCTGCCCTAAGAATATATTTGCTTGGGTCTCCCTGCTCCATGACAGTCCCAGAGAGATTTGTCCTGATTTTCCCCTCAAAGACATCAAGCCCTAATTCTTTCAATAATTCCTCCAGGTCCTGGGGAAGAGAGACAGGCTCACTAAAAAGAGCAAAGAGCAAAAATACTAGCTTTATCCTCTGCTATATCTACCTTTAAAGAGAGTCTGTACGGCACTTCTTGTTATGTGCCATCAAGGTGGAACTAACTCAGCTGACTCTCCAGCAGATTTTCAGAGGCTGTAAATCACACAAGAAGAGATCACTCCTTGCCCCAACTTGATCCTCCCACACACTGAAAATCTCACATCCTTGACACAAGTTTCCATCAAATCCCCCTGAGAAAGGGGAGGGGCTTGGCGAACCCATCCTGTCATGTACCATCAATAAAGTACACTGTACTCAGCCAAAAAAAAAAAAAAAAAAGAAGAGATCACTCATCTTTCTCCATGGAGCAGCTGGTGGGTGCAAATCGCCTACCTTTGGGTTGGCAGTGCAACTCCTTAACCACTTGGCCAGCATTTCATAAATAACAAATTTGATAATTTCACTTCCTTTCCTAAAACCCTCCAAATGTCACTCAACTGTCAGTTGTCAATTCATACTACCCATGCCATACTGAACTCTTTTCTTTCAGACCTCTCGATTTTATCCTCTAATGTCATCAGTGAATGTGACAAGAGAAGACTCTGACTATTCAATGGTACATATGCCTTTCTCTTGCCTCACAGGGAGAAGAGGGGCCTGCAGTTGGCAGTTTCATCAGTAGCTAGCCATAAACCCTATAAATACCTCCATCATTCCTTTCCTTCCCTCCATTTGTAAAGAAGTGGAAAATCCACCTCCTGTTGAAGGCAAGTGCCTACACCATCAACTCTAGGTCCTTTCTATCCTCCTTAAAGAGTGCAGTCCATCCATTATCTTCCCTCCTGTATCTTACAGCCCTCCTCTACTGGCTCATGCCAGTGATATACCAAGAGAGTGAATCAGCAAAAGAGGTCCATTTCAGGTATAAGCTAGAAGGAGTGCACTGTCTGAAGACTGTTTAAAAACAATTAACAAAACTGACTGAGTTAAAGTGCTTTTTATTATCAACATGTGTTAGTAATTCCAAATTACATTGGTGATAAAGTACTTCTTCATACTGGGGCAGACCATTCCCACCCTCACTTAGTAGTCCACTGTTTCTCTTCAACATATAAACAACTCCCTCCTGTTTGCTACAGACATCTCTCAGTCCAGTGTTTTCAATCTGCTACTCTCCCTCCTCTCTCCTCCTTCCAAATATACAGCCTTCTAAAAAATAGTTTAGGTTTCCTGATTCTAGCACTCTCATTTCCCTCATCCCTTAGCCTGTAACCTGGTTGCTGTCCCCCTAGACTCAGCTAAAACAGGTCTCACCAGGGTCACCAAGTAAACATTTCCTTAACCTTACCCGACCATTCTCTCCTCGATTCCTCCATCTCCCTTGACTGCCATATGACTACACTCTCCTAATTCTCTTCCAACCTTACACCACTCCTTCTGAAGTACCTTGTCTTCTGACTTCCAGTGTGATGTTGCTGTGGGTGAGTTTTCATCATTGGCCCTCCTTAATTCATACATTTTTCTTGGCTATCCCAACCATAGCCACAGATTCAAGTAGCATCTGTGTGGCTGGTTAGCAAGCCAAAAGACCAGATTTCATTCTGTCTATATCCACTTGAATGCAGCCTGGAAACCATAATTCAGCATGTCCATCCACCTCTTGCAGTCTCTACCCCATGACCATAGGAGTCCGGGACCTTATAGGGGAAAAGGACCTTCTCTATCTTACCATACTACATGATTGCCAAGTGTTGTGGATTCTATCTCATTAACAAATCCATCATAACCCAATTCTACTCTATCCTATAGGGTGACTGAAATAATAATATAAAACATTCATACTTACAACAATTACATCTATTACTGCTAATCCTTCTTCAATTTGTCTTTGCAGTTGAAAATATAAATGTCAGATTTCTGTTTCAAATGCTCTCAACTGGCCTAAAGCAGAAAGTCCACCCTCTTCATTCAAATGTCCACCCTCTTCATTATTTTCTCCTGCTTCTTTGAAGCCCCATTATTACTCATAATCCTACATGCCCTCTGCTCCAAGCATGCTGGTTCACTTTGCCCCGATCATAATATGTCCCTTACTGCTTTCATGCTTACACACACTCTTAGTTCAGCTTCGCTTCAGGGGCAAGGGCAGGATAGTGATGGAACTTAGCACAGTCTCTGGAAAGCTCTTTGTACCCTTAAAAATTCTGTCCTCCCTTCTCTGGGCTTTCATGGGTCTCTTTTCACTTTCTACACCCTGTGGTAACTACTCATTCACCTAGTATATCTCTACCATACCATCAGGTCCTATCATAGGCACTGGTGCTGTAGAGGTTAGGACGATCCAGTGCTTGACCTCAAGAAATTCCTAGTCTGGTATTGGAAATGAGCATGAGTAAGTCACGGCAATACCATGGGTCAAATACAGAAATAGAAGTTGCTACAAATACTGAGAATACAAGAGGATCCTAACCCAAGAGAGCTAAGGAAAGTATGAGTCTCTTACTAAATTTTAAGTCCCCCAAAGAAGAGATGATGACATTCATCTATATAAATATAAACCATCAGTAAATGCAGATGGTATGACTTCCATTCATGTTGAATGAATGATTAAAAAAAGAAATGACATAAAAGTTAAGTCACCTCCTCCACTGTCTTCCCACCACTCTGTTTATCCCTCTGGCTATAGCACACTTATTACCCTCTTGTGGTTTTTAAATGTTTACATCTCTCTCTCCCCCCCATCTAGAGTGCGGGATTCTACAGAGCTGGTGTGATATCTGATTCACTTCTGTGGCTCTAGCACCCAGAAAAAGGAGTTGGTTTAGAGAATTCATCATTTGATCATTCTGCATTGAGTGCACACATCCATAGCCTCATCCTTACTCTCGGTCAGCAGAGCCACAGATGGGGAAGAAAAGGAGAGGCTGTTCCCAAGCTCCCCAGATACTTAAAAGAACGTGATGCCTCTCCCAGAGGCCACAGTGACTCTAATTCAGTGAGAGTAGGGAGTGGAGTGGTGCTAGGCATGTGGTGCAACTCCCAATCTCTCCAGTCTAAAGGAATTCCTTACTCCAGCATCTGACTTGGATATTGGCAATGATGGGGATCTCACATGCAATCAGTCCCTCTAGTCCACAGATGGGGTTACCCTAGGATCTTTCCTTACATGTGGGGGAGGCAGTATGGTGTAGTATAAAGAACTTAGATTCAAATCCTGGCTTCCCATTTCCTAACTTTTCAAGTGAAGCATTGACCTCTCTGATTCTCCATTTTCTCATCTGTGAAATAGAGATAATAATAACTTGCTTAATTGCTGTGAGAACAAAGGTGAAGACCTCTATGGTGTAGTTATACTGTGCCTGCAATATATTATGGCCTCTTATATTAAGCAAAATTTATCTCCTAATAACATCACTCATTGGTCCTGGTTATATACCCTGTGGAAGGTCCAGACTCCTCCTTCAGCGTTGTGGACACCACAGCACACTATCCCAACTGCCACGTGCCTGGTATACTCCCACTTCATACATCCCCAGTCAGCTTGATACCTTCACAGATGTCGCCACGCTCCTGGAATCCCGCACTGCAGCTGCAACGTCCCACAGGCACCAGCCACTCACCATCGGCACCACAGTGCATACGAGGGGGGCTGCCAGGCTCACCTTCCGAGTGCGCCACGCAAGTTCCAGTCACCTCCACCAGAGTGGAGAAGGCGCCCTCGGCCGCCGTGGCCGGGAACGCCGCCAGGCCCCGCACCGTGGCTCGGCACTGCTTATAGTACACGCGCACTGAAACCAGTGCCACGCATGCACCCACATCCTGGAAGGCCAAGTGGAAACCCCTCCGACTGAGAGGCCCAATCTCGCGCACCTCGGTGTTTAGCTTCATCTTGCGTTCGCCTAGGTCCCCCTGTGTGAAGCTCTCATCTGCAGCAATCGTGTCGATTTTGCGGGGCCGACTGGCGCCCGGGCGAGGACGCCCACGGCCCAGATCGGTCTCAGTTTCCAGGTAGTAGACATTGAATGTCTCTTTGCAAGTGCCCGAGGCACCGGGGATGCTGCTGCAGTCGCGCAGCGTGAACTGCAGTTCCACAAAGATGCGCTGCCCACGACCTCGGCTAATCCAGCCGGTCTGCAGCCAGTTGTCTTGGTTGGGCTCCAGCACGTTGCACACCTGGTATGTACGGATGGGCCGGTCGTGCTCGTCCACGCCACTTATCTCTTCCCACTGGGACAAGAGGATAGATGTGGGAAGCTCAAAACCATGGCTCCTCCTCAGGAGATGCAGCTTTGGCTGTGACTCAAGCTGAAAGCTGTCTTCCACAATATCACTGCCTCCTGCCCCATCCTCTATACCATACACCCCCTGAAATGATAAGATAAGGAGCTGGAAGAGACTTTGGAGGTCCCAGATCTAACTTTAATTCTCCACATGGGGAAATGAAGATTTCAGAAGGACAGTGATTTTGAGGAGGTACGCATGTCAAGTTAGTGTCTGCGCTAGGAACAGGACCCAAGTCTTCTGACTCTCTTTACCCAGTGTCCTTTCCTCTGCACCTGCTGCTGTCACACTGACACACTACACACCACCCTGAACCCATCTCAAGTTCCCAGTCAAGTTTCGCAGGACTCTAAATGCTGCCTCTCCTGTCATTCCATAGCACAGTAGGGAGGATCTGCTGGATACAAGACACTGTCCAGCACTGGCGCCATTTAGAGGCCACATTTCCATTCCTAGACACAGCCAGTTCTCTTTTTTTTTTTTTCTTTAATAAATGTCTGACTGGTTGAAGAGTCACCACTCTCTGGTAGGACACACTGGCTTGAAGCCAGACTTCCTGGAGACCCACACACTCTGAGGAAGACTTAATCTGATGTGACCATGGAGAGCTAATGGGACTGAGCCTTAACGGGGCCTAACACCACGGGACAGGGAGGGACTCAGTAGACTTACTCCATTACTTGGTAGAGCAGTCCAGCCCAGTTCAGCTTGGGAAGATTTGGAATCCAGGAGAATGACTAGAAAGAGGGGAAAGAGGTGTCAGAATGTGGAAGGAAGGATACTTTAGTGAGTTCACTTCAATATCTGCAAATGGAGAGGGATGAAGAATGTGGTAAAGGGCACAGGAATGTTCTCTCCAATCCATAAACCCCCCGAGAGGGTCTGAGCAACTCAAATCCAGAAGGAGGCAGGCACAATAATTAAGGAGAGACAAATTAATGTTGTCTCCAGTGGCAATATAACAAATCACCACAAAGAGTGGCTTAAAAGAACAGAAACTTTTCTCTTGTACTTATGGAGGTCAGAAGTCTGAAGTTTGACTAAAGTTTCATTTGACTAAAGTCTAGATGTCAGTGGGACTGGTTCTTCCTAGAAGCTCTGAAGAGAACATCTACTTCCTTGTCTTCTTCAGCTTATACCTCTTCTTGAATCTTCTAAGTACCTCAGTCCAATCTCTGCTGATGTCATCACATCACCTCCTCCTTTGACTCTTCCTGCACTTTTCTTATAAGGATCATTGTGGTTACATTGGGCTTACCCAGATAATGCAAGGCAATCTCCCTATACCAAGATGCTTAACTTAACTACACCTGTAAAATCTCCCCCCCCCCTTTCTTTTCTGTTTAAGGTGCTAGTCATAGGTTCCAAGGAGTGAGGCATGGGCATATTGGGGAGGCATTATTAAGCCAGAGATCTCGTAGCAAACACTAAAAGGCTGGTTCTAAAATTGTGAGGGCTGGGTTTTCCAGCCTTCCTAGGTTCCCTAAGTCACATTTCATGAAGGAGAAGAAAAATGTAAATTTTTGAAGGATTTCCTTTTTGATGCCTTCAAACTCACACAGACTCAGGAGTTCTTCTGAAGTCTGGGTCATCAGGGATGGAGAAGGGTTGAACCTTTTAAATTTTATTCACAGAGTCTTTGAGGTAAACAAGGTGAAGAGATGCTACCAGCAACAGGGGACATTAAATTCCTCATCAGCTCAACCAGACTTTATCCCAGGGGTTGTCACATTTGGCAAATGGTAGGGATCCTTTTTATATATAAAACCATGATGCCTCCTAGATCAGAGGCTTGGAGTCCCTTTATTTCCCCAGGAGGCACTGAATTGGCATTCTGCATTCTGCTTTCTGTGTTGGTCACGGAGAAGTACTGATTTGGACAGCATGATAGCAGCCCAGAGACAGGAACCCAGAGCCATTCCCAAATCACACCAGGTTACTCATCTGGAGCTTAAGAAAGAGGGTAGGGTGCTAAAATGAGGGCTTCTACGGGGAGACTGGCCTCAGAGACGTTAGCCACATTAGCCACGACCGCAAACCTGTTCCAATTTCAGCACAACTGAATGTACATCTGAATTGCACGTTGGAATGTATCAGAGACCCCGTAGCTCCACCAACCCTGTGGCCAATGCCTTAGATTCCAGCTCCTCAGAATTTAGCTTAGAGAAATGAACCTCCATTTGGATTCATTTTAACACACAGATCCCCCAGATTCAGCATCATAGGCAAGACGCGGGCTCTGGTACCGTGGACAGCCCCAATCTCATTCCCGCAGACAATTCCGGGTGTTCCGCTCTCCGAATTCAGCACTGCGGACAGCTCTCTTGTCAGCGCTTCAGGCAGCGCCTGGACCCAGCCCCCTCAACCCGGACTCAATCTCCTGTCCACACAGTGCTCTTCTATCCCTGCTGTTCCATCTCCATCTCGTTCCCCCACATCCTGATCTCACCTCCACATCCCCTGTCTCCCCTGCTCTCTCCATCTCCCCGCCCCCACACCTCCCACTTGCAATCGCTCAGGGCTGTCCGTCTCACCGGTCGCTGAACGGCTGCCTCACTCCCGAGGCTCTTGGTCTCTTTTTTCCTCAGCCTTACAGGTCTCTAGCCTCAAGCTTCTAATTGCCCTCTCTTCCTCATTTCTTAGCTACCTTTTTCTCTATCTCTCTAGTTCTTTGCTTCTCGCTGCCTTCTTGCTCCAAATCTCAATACAGAGTCCAGTTCTTCCAACGACACCCCCCAGCACCCGAGTTCCTCGTCTTGCAACCCCCTATATCTATGCTGCTGCCCCACGTTTCTAGGACAGCTATCAGTCTTCTCACCTTCCTCGGCAGTCCCGGGCCGCCCGGGCCCCAGGAGCAGCGCGAGACAGAGAGGCATCAGGCAGACAAACAGGCGCAGCGGGTGTGGGCCCGCGCCGGTCTCCATGGTCCGCAGACGGAGCTGTCAGTGCGGCGGCGGCTCCAGCCGCACCAACCCCAGCACCGCTGAGCAGCGCCCCCAGACCTCAGCGCCTGCTGGGGGCGGGGTCTCGCCGGCTATCATCAGGCGTGAGGACCAATCACGAGGCACCGCCAGGGGAGGTCTGCCAATCCCTGCCAGCACAGGATGAGGAGGTGGAGTCTCATAGGCTAGGGGCGGAACACTGAGCTGGAGTGGGGGAAGGAAGGGGTCCCGCCAATCTCCAAACGGTGGGGGTGGGGCAGCACTGAGCTCTTGCGGGGCTCCCGGGGAGGAGGACCAGCTGGTGTCGGTGGTCCAGAGCTCTGGACCTTAGCCCCCAGTTCCTGAGAAGTAGGCGATGTGGGCGTGACTCGAGGAGGGGCGAACCTGAGGAAGGCCACGACACTTGCAACCTCCGAGCTAGCCAGGAAGTTCCCCCGTCCCCAGACATGATTCACCAGACTTGCAGGGGTTTTCAAAGCCTGATGCCCCGACTCCAAGCTCTGGCGAGCTCCTCGGTCTTGACTAGTCGTGGCTACTTCCTGTGTCTGCGACCCCTGGCGTCTCACAGCTCAGTCCCGCCCCCTTCTCTCCCCGCCCTCCTAACACACACACACACACACACACACACACACCCCGCCACCGGAGGGAGGGGCAGAGCCTGACCCCCGGGAACTGCTTGGCTGCTCGAGAAAGGAGAGCAATGTGGGAGACAGGGTCCCGCCCTCCCAGCGGCTCCTCTGAGCCTGGGAAACCATGTGGACACCAGGATGGAAACGGTAGATTTTGCTTCAACGATCGGCTCCTCAGGTTCTTGCTCCTGCTGCTAGGACAAACAGCATTCCCTGCACCCACTTCTTGCGCCGTCTGCTCAGAATCTGGGGTTCCCCCTTTTTATACCTCACCCCACCCATCGCAGAGAGCTTCTAGCCAGCGCAGCGGCGGGACTCCGCCGGCTGCAGGAGGCGTGGAACAATTCTCGTAGAGTTCAGCTGGAGCCGGAGCCGCAAGGAAACGTGGAACACGACCTCTATCTAGTGAAGGTCATTTATGTGCAAGCTGAGGGTTTAAGATGTTGGTGGTGGGAGGGGCTAGGACCCTCGAGGGCACAGAGGGGGCTGCTGAGCGCCACCATCTGGGCTTAATTTGAGGGGAGAAAGCTCCACCTACCTTGTGGCATTTCAGAGCTCTTTTCCTGAGGGGACTCGCCGTTTTCTCCTTTGGAGGCTGTAGTACCCAAGCAAACCTTGAGAATGAGTGTCTACGTGGCCTATGTGGTCTGAGTATCTATGTGTTTTGTATATATGGGCCCCTCACCCCACCAACACTTACTGAGTATAGTGCTTTATGCAGGGGCTACCTGAGTGAATCGCCCCAAGCCACATGGCACAACGAGAATCACTGACATTGTAGAGCACTTGACATGTCCATGCCGCTTTCATGAGTCATTGCTCGGCATGTGTGTGTCCTCGTAGTATGTGCACATGCACATTTGCCTGTTCTCAGATAGAACTGCTGGACAGTAGCAAAAAGAGGTGGGAGGCATTCCTCTCCTTTGCCAGTAGAAAGAAAAGGTCGTCAGGAATGACTTGGGCTCATACACGGCAGGAAGTGTGGAGCTCGCTAGGGAAGCAGAAAGGGGGTGTGATGTCTGGCCGGTCCTTGGATGCAGGCGGGGCCTCTGAAATCAGACCTACCTGAAGAAAAGGCTTTTATATATACCCCCACCTCTTTCCCATCTTTATTCTCCTCACGCTTGATTCATCCCTTCCCCCTACCCCCCCAGCGCTGGGAGATGGTATTTTTAGCAGCTGCTTAGAGACCCAGGACTCCTTTCATTTCAGAATGAGTCCTCACTTCACCACCCCTCATCCCCCACTTTCAAAACCTTGTCCCATCCTCCTAGCAATCTCTTAGGTGCCAACCATAGCTTCTCATCCAAGCATGAGAGATTTCAGCCTGCAGATTCTGACCCTAAATGCTAAAGAAAAATGCAGATTCTCTCAGACTCTCAAGAGCCAAACAGATGGGGGAAATTGACATAGATTGTCCTGGCTATCAACAATCTGGGCCCTACCCTCTCTAACAACACATACGTGTAGGCTCCTCAGGGAAATCAGCAAACTAGGATCCTAAAAATGAGAGAAAGAGAAGACTAAAACAGCCTTCTCTTTTTTCATCTGAACAATTCTTTTGTAATAAAACAAGAAGAGAAAAGCCACAGCATATGCAGATATATGCAAATCAGCCGGATCTTAATAAGAGTTGCTCTAAGGCGACTGCAGTCTACCAGGAGACTGCAGTATAGACAGCTCAGTGAAGAATTCAGGAGGGTCTAAAAAAGTAATCAAGCCATAGCCCTCAGAGACCTTTTAGGTGATGGCAGGAGGAGCAGGGAAGATCTTCAGGCAAGGGTCTTGGTAGTCACGTTGACCCCTCAGTGGTCAGGTGGGTGTGGCTTCTGTCCATGGTACTTAACCTGCAGTTGTCTGTACACTTCATTTCCAGCCGAACTTCCATGTTACTGACATCTGAGCCTTTGGCTAGGGATCGCTACCTACTCCTCCACCTATACCTCAGACACAGTGAGTACGGTCTCTAGGAGCCAGGCAGCCTTCATTCTCTGGGTTAGAAGTGGAAACTTCTATTTTCTCTTCTGCCTCTCCCTGGTCACCACTGAGACAGCATGGAAGGGATTTTTCCTGTCCTGCATTATCTTCTAGGATGATGAGGGAAATACTGTGAGGGGTTTAGAAGTGCCTTTTCCTCCATGGAAAAGAGTAAAGGTGTACCAGAGAAATCATAATCAAGCCCTGTCCTCAGAGCTATCAGGGACCCTGGTGTTCAAAGGATGTAAACAATTTGCCTCTTTCCTCTTCTGTTACTCTCCCCTTCTCCAATCCAAAACAAATTAGAAAAGAAAGAAAGAAAGAAAGAAAGAAAGAAAGAAAGAAAGAAAGAAAGAAAGAAAGAAAGAAAGAAAGAAAGAAAG